TCACAACTCAAAAGTCAGCCAGTAGAAGTAACTTGTAGCTAACCTGGCGATTCCTGCTCGCTGTGATAGTCAGGCTGGAGGAATTTCTTGTTTCAAAGCCAGGCGTGGTGGCACTAGGGAGGCAGAGGCAGGTAGATCTCTGTGAGTTTGAGGCCAGCATGGTCTACAAAGCAAGTCAAAGGCCTTGCTTTAAAGAGTGAAACAACAAAACAAAACACACAACCTATCTGTGCTGTGAACAGCCAGGCTTCTCTGGGCCTAGCTCCTCAACTGTCCTTTCTTATAACCTTGCACCACCAAGGTTTAACGCCCCAGCCATGGGTTCTAGGCACTCTCTGACTTTGAGCTGGTGTCCTGCATTTACACTGCATAGGTGAGTCTGGCGTCCTTAACAGAGAACAGAGCTGAACAAGGATTAGCGAGGCCTTTCTCCTGCCTTATGGTTAGGGCTATCTGGGGACAGCAATCCCCAAGAGACCAAACCCCTTATCCCCAGAAAGATTCCTTTATTTAATTAGTAACTATTTCCTGTGTGCAGACCCTGGAAAGTCAGTCTCTTGTCAGGCCCATCAGCTTGACGAGGCAGGAGTGGTACACCCTTGATAGCTTATAAAACTGAGGCAAAAAGACCAGACTCGCTGTAAATTTATGTAGTTAATCAGTGCTCAATATGAAACCAAAATTCAGACCTGTGACTTTAAAGTCCATGTTATTAATTACTTCACTATTTTCTCCTGCCATTTTCTCCATACCAGAGAAACAGGTGCCCAGTTGCTTCCTCTTGGCTTTTTTGAGGTGATGTTTTAAACCAAAGTGGCACAAGGTCTTAGAAACTGAGGCCATTTGTCTGTCTCCTCTTCTACTGGAATCTAAACATTCCTGTGTGATAAAGAATCATTTAGGCCTATAGTACCTTTGGGAAAATTTAAAATAGGTACTTCCAAAGCCTGGCTAGCTCAGTCAGCAGAGCATGAGACTCTTAAAATAGGTACTCCTGGCCTGTGAGGGTAGTTGCTCTTGAGACCCAGGAGCTGTCAGAGTAGCTGTGTAGCCATTTGGGATGCCAGTGTTTCCATCAGCTGCAGTAACATTTGATACTCAAAACCTTTATCGCTAGGTCATTTTAGAAAGGAAAATTCAAGTTACATTTCATAAAAGGGCTGAGGCGCAAAGATGTCAGCTGTTGCAGCTGGGGAAAGGATGCAGGGTAAAGAGTGACAGAGTTAGGAAAGTATAATCCACTTAAAAAGCCAGGCATGGCTGTATTTGCACCTGTAACCCAGGGCTGTGAGGAGCAGGGTAAGAGCTTACTCTACCAGCCTCTAGCAAAACACCAAGTTCAGAGACCCTGTCTCAAGGAAATAAGGCCAAGTGTTATAGAGCAGAGACCTGACATTGCCTTCTGGCTCGCGCGCACGCGCGCGCGCGCACACACACACACACACACACACGAACACGCACACACGTACATGCATTCTCCCTTGCACATCTCTATGCATAGACCGACCACATGCGCTCACACACAGACATAAGATGTCAAGCATTATCTGAATTCTTGTAGCAAGAGAGCTATAGTTATTCTTCTTCTGTTGTTGTTGTTGTTTTTGTTTTTCGAGACAGGATATCTCTGTGTAGCCCTGGCTGTCCTGGAACTCACTCTGTAGACCAGGCTGGCCTCGAACTCAGAAATCCACCTGTCTCTGCCTCCCAAGTACTGGGATTAAAGTTGTGCGCCACCACTGCCTGGAAGCTATATTTATTCTTAATAATAGCCTCAGTTATTCTGTCAGAGCCTTTCCAGATCCAGTTTCCTGGCTACCCAGGGTCATAGTGGTTTGTGAAGATTCCTTAGAAAACATAGCTAGTGGGTAGTTTTCCTACTCTGAAGCTACTGTGGGCTAAATTGAAGGTATGGATCTAGGAAGCCTACAAACCCAGCAGCATATGAAGAAAGGTGGCCCTGTGTTTAGAGAATAGGCTATTTACTTAGTATTGGTGGTATGGTGGTGGTGGTGGTGGTGTTTTAAGACAGGGTCTCAGTCTGTAGCCCTAGCTGGCCTGGAACTCAGTCTAGACACATTGGCCTCAGATTCACAGGTTTCTATCTGCCTCTCCCTCCCCACTGCTAGGATTAAAGGCATGTGATTTACACTTGGCTAGAATAGTTTGAGAGGGGATCTGAGCTCAGCCTGGTGACAAGGCCTCTTATCCCAGCTACTCAGGTCTCTTGAGTCAGGAGACTGCAAGTCTAAGGCCTGCACCACAAAGCCACAGAGAGAGAGCTTTTGAGGGGCTACTGCAGTTGCCAAGAAGCTAGATACAGGCGGTGCATGCTATGGAAAAACTCAATGCCTTTAGGCACATGGAGGTTTGGAAGGTTGCTGTCTGCCCAAATTCTACCTCTGCCATGACCCAGACCAGTACTGAGGCTCAAGTAAGACACACTAATGTCCAAGTGGTGGTGACACATGCCTTTTATCCCAGCACTTGGGAGGCAGAGGCAAGTAGATCTTTGAGATCAAAGTCGCCTGGTCTACATTAAAAAAAAAAAAAGTGATAACACTAAAAGTGATATTCCTGCCGGGCAGTGGTGCCTCACACCTTTAATCCCAGCACTTGGGAGGCAGAGGCAGGCGGATTTCTGAGTTCGAGGCCAGCCTGGTCTACAGAGTGAGTTGCAGGACAGCCAGGGCTACACAGAGAACCCCTGTCTCGAAAAACCAAAAATAAAAAAAAATAAAAGTGATATTCCTGAAGCAATGGAGAGACGCTAAGAGCGCTCAGCCCCGACTGAGCCAAGCATTACCTGTTAAAAGTACTAGGAGCAGTGGGGAAGGCAGGAGACAGCAGAAACTACAGGAACTGACAGGCCGCTCTCCTGCTCTAAGCACTCAGTCTTAACTTCCACTCTGACCTGGCAAAAAGAGAAAATTCAGGCGACCTAGACCTTCCACGGCCGAGGCTCTGGGTATACACTTGGAGGAGCAGCTGTCTTCCTGAGCTGCCCCTGATTTTCAGCAGCTGACTTCAGTGTGATTTCTATCATTTGGTGCCTGGCTCTCCTCAGGGAAGACTTAAGCCAAGGTGTTAGATTATAGGCAATCCCTGAGGCTGCCCGGATTTTAGGACTTAGGAAGGAATATATGACTCTGCTTTGCCTGGTTTCTAGGGCCTGGCACCATGGTGGAGGAATTTTGCCCCTTTTTTTTTGACTGTGGGCCAAGACCTTGGCTGCAACCATCCCAGCCATGAGTGGGGCCCACAATGTGAGAGAACTAGTTTACTGTGTGCTGCTACTGCTGGGTACCAGTCCCCTTGCCTATAGAACTGGAAGCAGAGTAAACAGCCTACACTGTGGGAACAGCAGGCAGAACAGTCTGGTAGAACTGGATGCTTAGAGGGAAGAAGGAGATAGGCCTTGGTCCTCATTGGAGCCTCTCCTCCCAGTGTTCGCTGTTTCCTTTATTGCCTCAGGAACTTGGTGGGCAGGAGTGTTTGCTCCCAAGTAACCTCTGGTCCACCACAAATTTGGTCTGAAAAAGAAAACAATCCAGAGGTGTGCCTTTCTGCACATGGGGAGCCTGGCCTCTGTCCTACTGATATGTCCTGACCCTGGCTGACTCCCTTTGGCTTCTGTCAGAGCCAAGTCCATCATACTTAACTTCCCAGTTCCCTGATGAGCAAGGTTTTCCTTAATGTCACAATCTTCCTGCAGATCAGATACCTACATGCAGGTCAGCAGACTGAGAGTCTCCGTCCTCCTTGCTCCCCCTTCTCTGCCTTGTCCACTTCCGCTAACTTGGCTTCCCTCCCATCTGCCCTCCCTCCCACCTGCCCCACTCTTGCTTTTGTTTGATTGAGGGTCTTAGAAACTCAAGTCACATCAAGTTTGGCTTTCAAACCCGTTATTATTAACCTCAGATATCCAGGGTTCCCAAAGTCATTTGAATTTTGACTCCTCACACCATAGTCTGGTCAAGTGTGGTTATAGACACTTATAAGCCCAGATATCAGGAAGTGAGACAGGAAGATAAAAAATTATAGACCAAACTGAGCCATATAGTGAGTTCCAGGGCAGCCTAGACTGTGCAGCAAGACCGTCTCAAAAACAGAAGTCAGAGCAGCATTGTTGAGGAGATTCACACCCCTGCACCCATCAGTGTCCACTGTAACTCAGTGGTTGGATACCCAAAAGTTTGCTCCAAGAGCTGGATAACAATGATGGGTTGGCATTGAGAGATGAAAACAAGTGGCAGATGGTACTAAGGAACATCCTAGGGCTGAAGAAATACAGTTTCCAGAATGGGAGACGCGGTTAGACATTGGCAAAAGGCTGTACTCAGTATCTGGGACAGCCTGACCAGAGGAAGCCTTCTGCGGAGGCTAAGGAGGACACTGGTGGTGTCAGGGACAGTGGCAACCATAACCAGAGTACACAAGTCTTTGTGTCCACGCTAGGCTGGTCAGGAAAGGCAAGGAATGGAAGAGATTCAAAGGTGGTCCCAGAGGCTGGGCATGATGATGCAAGCCTACAATGTCAGCACTTGGGAGGCAGGGGCCAAAAGATACAGGATTCAAGGGCAGCCTCACACATGAGACTCCATCTCAAAAGGGGAGGAGGGGGACTTCAGCTGGGCGGCGGTGATGCACACGCCTTTAATCTAAGCACTCAGTAGTCAGAGGCAGGTGGATCTCTGAGTTCAAGGCCAGCCTAGTCTACAGCGTGAGTTCCAGGGACTACACAGAGAAATCTCCCCCCCATCTCTCTCTCTCTGTCTCTGTCTTTCTGTCTGTCTGTCTGTCTGTCTGTCTGTCTCTCTCTCTCTCTCTCTCTCTCTCTGTCTCTCTCTCTCTCTCTTTCTCTCTCTCTCTCTCACACACACACAGACACACACACAATCTTATAAAGTAGAAAAATCTCCCCTTGCCGTCCTCCCTCCTTGCTTTCCAAAGACATTCTTGCCGAGACTGAGCCTCTGCTTGGCCCTTGACTCCCTCAGGTACTAGAGGTAGTACGAGCCAACTACGACACACTCACGCTGAAGCTGCAAGATGGCCTGGACCAGTATGAGCGCTACTCTGAACAACACAAGGAGGCCGCCTTCTTCAAAGAGCTGGTAAGCTTCCCCCCCCCCCACCCAAGCCCTGCTGTGCCTATAGACACTGGAGTCTGCCGTACTCTAGGGTGTGTCTGCAGTTTGCTAAAGATTACTAAAACTATAGGGAGTTGGTATGCAGCCTTTTTACTGAAGCAGTTTGGAATGAGGCAGTGAGAGACAGATAATCACAGCCAACATTACCCACCTCATCTGCAGCCACAGTGACAACCTTGCACAGCTATGACTGGGCTGGTGTCTGACATGTATTACCAGTGGCAGCCATGATGTCCTTAGAGCAACTAAACAGAGTAGTTGATCCTCCCTCTCCTTCTGCAGCCACTCCTCCCTCACTCCCTGACAGGTTCCTAGCTTGAGGGTCCCCTCCTATAGCTCTGCAGGCTTCACTGTGTGCCCACTCCCACCTCTCACCCAGCCAGGCTATCGCAGCCATGGCTCCACCCTGGCCTCTCCCTTCTGAATGTTCCTTTCCTGTTCTGTACTCAGCTGCCCCAGGAAAAGCTCTGCCTTCCTGTAGGTGTGCTGCTTTTCTGGATGACACAAGCCCTGGTAGTGAACGGGACAGGACAGAGAGGTTCTAACCCACTTCCCAGGCTCTCTAATCAGCTAAGCCTTCCCATAATGCACCAGGCTTGTGGCAAAGGTGCTAGACTTCAGATTATCACAGTCCAACTCTAACCATGACATGAAAGGCCTCAGGATTTTTCTGTGGTAAGTTAGTTGTGAACAAGAAAACCATCATGTAATAAGAAAGTAGGCCCAGTGTTTTTAATGAGATGAATAGTGATTTTAGATCAATGTGGAGATTTACTGGGTGCCAAAAACAAGTAAGAGAATGACTTACCTTATGGAGAGGGTTGTAAAGGAGAGTTAGAATTAGTCTATCTGTCTTGTCTGTCTGTCTGTCTGTCTGTCTGCCTGCTTGCCTGCCTAACTATCTCTCAAGTACAGTATCTCACTATATAGCTGAGGCTGGCCTGGGACTTGCAATGGTCCTCCTGCCTCAGCCTCCCAAGTGCTGGGATTACGGGCGTGAGCCTCAGCAGCAGAAGCTGACTTTCGGGTCCTTGGCACTGCCTCTGCTTTCCTCACTCCTTCTGGCTGGACCTCCGGCACAGGGGAACAACGTTCTGGTCCGTAATGAGGTGGATTTGACTGCTGTTGCCCTGCTGTTTCTTCCTTTGCTTCCTGCCTGATGATTCCACTTACCTTCTTAGAGTAAAGCAAAAACTAAAAAGTTCCTTGGATCTCCAGGACGAAAGCAGATACACACTCTTTGCCTCTGTGGTTGGTTTGTTCCTCATAAAAATGCATATTTATTACCATGGATGAGCCTCCTTGCAGAGGCTACTGAAGTCCTCATAAAGCCTCCTAGAGTTGGAAATTTGGCTCTCCCAGCCTTTCTTTGCAAGTCTTTCTCCTGCCAGCACAGTGACTACTTCATCGTGGCCCAGTGCCTCCGGCCCGCCCACCGCTGTTTGTAATGGACTGTCTTCTCTGCTCTTCCACCTTCCCCAACCCTTTGCCAGGTTCGGTCCATTAGTACCAATGTCCGGAGGAACTTAGCCTTCCACACACTCAGCCAGGAAGCCCTCCTGAAGGAGTTCTCCACCATCTCCTGAGGATGCAGTGCCTGAGAGCCACTGACTGCCTTACCCATGAGGCTCCTGGGCTGGAGGGCGAGCACAAGGAGTGGGGACTGCCTTCAAGGTTGGAGAGAAGCACGACCCCGAGGCTCTTGGTGAAGGCCATACTTCAGTGAGCTTGGACAGCAGGGGCAAGCCCAGGATGGCCCTATTTGGGGAGAAATGGGAGGGTAATGGGGGAGAGGTAACCAAAAGTGTGAGGTTTCCGGCTGCACTCCCTGGATACTGACCCGTGATTCCAACTGAGATTCCACGTCTGGCTTCTGATTATTCAGGTGCTGGTCAGGCAGGCCTCAGCTGATGCCAACACTCTGAAGGCCAATGGCTGAGCTTGGCTGATGCCACATCCTGTTTCCTTTTAGAACTGGAGCTGAGCAAGGCCCCTGTCCCCACTGCAGTCTGCCCACTCTTTAGCCTCTCAGCTCTGGCACAGAGTAGGTCAGGGATTGGCGCCTTTTTTCTGTCTTCTAAATTCAAAGTTGACACCTCTGAGAAATTGGAGATTGGATCTGCCTGGTGCTCTGCTGTCTGACCTCTCCTTTCTGGATTTTAGTTTTGGCATCAGGAGCACCTGTTTGCTTTCCCTTGCCTTCCCACTTTGACTCGTCGGCACAATAGGCCCACAACTTTAGCCTTGCCTTTTTAGTCTGTTTTAAACTGTCTTAAAAGAGTTTGTGTGAAATAAACATTGACAGGTTTTCTGGAGCCCTCAAGGTGCCTACTTTGCTGGTTCCTTTTCCAGCAGCTTCCCCTGTCCCCACCCACCCCTCCAGTGGGAGCCTAGATGAGCTCCCTCCGTGTTCCACCCCCTCACCCTGCTGTCATCCAGCCTGCCTAAGAGTTTCCTCTGGGGAGGAGTCTGTTCCTGCTGTGGTCTGGTGCCGGGAGAGAACCTGCTGGGGAGGAGTCTGTTCCTGCTGTGGTCTGGTGCTGGGAGAGAACCTGCTGGGGGTAGGGTGCTGTTCATAGACACAGGCTAGGTGAGCACCATGCCTCGACTCTCCGTCTTGTCTAGCCGTATTCTAGCTGGGCCTCAGGCACATCCAACCTCCATGAAGTTGGCCTGTGGATTCTATCATCAGATAGTCTCCATGGACCCACTGTAGGGTTTTCCCTTCCCCACAGTGGCCCCTGAGATAGCTGCTGCTCTAAGGTCCCTCCAGTCTAAAGTTTTTTAAAGCCCCAGGGTGGCAGGGCTAAGCAGCACAGTGAGGATCGGAGGGAGGCTGAGAGTAGGTCTGGGGCTTTCTGGCCTCCTGTCTATTTAGCATCTGTCTCTTTGGAATACTTGCCCCCCTGGAAGCCAGAGTTCTGATTGCGCAGAAGTGTAATAGTTCTAGAGAATCTGTGACAGACTGACATGCATAGATGTAGAATCTTAAGCCATTGTGGGGTGATCTCTAATCACTCGTCACCAGATGGATAACTTGACCTGAGGTTTTTAGTGTTTCCCATGGTGATAAACCCCAGAACAGCTGAATCTGGAGCTGGTGGCAAGTCAAAGCTATTAAAAGTTGATTTGTGTCTTTAGTGTCTCCTCAGCGTCTTTCCCCTCTTCATCTCTAATGCAGGTGTTGGTCCTGTGTCATAGAGGACCTTCCTCAAGCCTTTCGTCCTCTGAGCCTCCTGGTCCTGATGGAGGCCAGCTGGGCTGAGAACTATAGTCTCCCTTGCCTCTGGGTGAAAGAAGGGGGTGATGGTATGAGCAGGTCCCTTGGGTGCCTTCAGGATTTCTGCCAGCCCTTCCTATAGTGGAACAGGGGCCAGTCTAGGATGAGCAGCCCTAAGCAAAGCGTTCCTTTTCTCCCGTGACTAAAAGCCGGCCTCTCGGTGGGGTCATTCGTGTACACCTAAGACCTTTAACCTGAGTCTACATCATCCAGAAACCTGCTTGGCGGTGCCTCTGACAACTCTGTGGCGGTTTCTGAGAGTGTTTCTCCCAAAGTCAGCCTGTTCCTGCCTCACACAGGAACACTCACCACAGGTCACTGACTCAAGTATTTAGAAAATAAATCTTGACTGAAAAGACTCAATGTGTTGAGGTAATTTAGCTGAGACCTTGGTCTCACAGGCCGTTCCTGGAGACCTGAGGTGATGAGAGTTCTGTGCAGTGCTGCTCCTCCCTTCAGAAAATGAGGGTGGCTTCATGAGAGAGACATCTCTCTCTTCTGGATCCCCAAACCTTTCAGAAGCTCCCCAAATCTGCTGGAAAACAAAATCTAGAACAGCAGATGGGAAAAGAGAAAGGGGGCAAGGGCTGGAGAGATGGCTCAGTGGTTAAGAGCACTGCCTGCACTTCCCGAGGTCCTGAGTTCAAATCCCAGCAACCACATGGTGGCTCACAACCATCTGTAATGAGATCTGGTGCCCTCTTGTGGGGTGTCTGAAGACAGCTACAGTGTATTCATATATAATAAATAAATAAATCTTTACAGTATAGCAAACTACAAACACCCAAAAAGAGGGGGGACAAAGATAACTACTTTCTTTCCCCTTCCCGGTTGCCTGGGGGTGGGGGGGTGGGGGCCGGCGGCGGAAGAGTCATAAGATCTGGGGAGACGGCCTTCAGAAAGTGAGGCCCCTTCTGGAACTTGAGAGAGACAAATGTACCGAGTGCCACCTGTGAGCCTAGATCCAGAGGCCGGGTTGGCTCGCACATCCATTCCGCTAGAGGAGGGTGGCTGCTGGTTGAGAACGCGCAACACGCGGCCGGAGGAACAACCGAGAAAATAAGGCTGAGATGAAGATGAGAGGGGACGGGGACTCAGACATACCCCAGGCTCTGGCCCTGCTGTGCCGGACTGGCTGACTGGAGGTTGGGGTGCGGTGCCTGAGAATTGGAGGCGGAGTTTCTTCACAGCGGGGGCTTTTCTGGCCCCTTTTTCCCTAAGCCCCGCAATTTAGTGGGTGGTGTAGCTGGAGAGCTATTCTCCTTTCCGGCACTTTCCAGTTCACCCCTTCACCCAGTGCCTCCTCCGAGCTGCAGAGGATGGGGGGCGGGGGTAGGGGGAGCCAATCCCGGCAGCGCCTAAGGGGGGAGGCAGCAGTGACAGCCGCGGGGAGGGGGCGGAGGAGAGGCGGCTGGGCTCAGGCTCGGCTCTCTGCTCCACTCTGCCTTCTGCTCCGCTCTCACTTGCTGCCCAAGGCTCCTGCTCCTACCCCAGGACTCTGAGGTGGGCCCTAAAACCCAGCGCTCCCCAGAGAAAAGCCTTGCCAGCCCCTACTCCCGGCCCCCAGCCCCAGCAGGTCGCTGGGCCGCCAGGGGGCGCTGTGTGAGCGCCCTATCCCGGCCACCCGGCGCCCCCTCCCACGGCCCGGGCGGGAGCGGGGCGCCGGGGGCCATGCGGGGCCAAGGCCGAAAGGAGAGTTTGTCCGAATCCCGAGATCTGGACGGCTCCTATGACCAGCTTACGGGTGAGTCTGTGGCTCAGGGGTCCTGGGAGGGTGAGTCCATCCCCCTAGACTCTTCCATCCCTCTGATTCTAGCTTGGCCCTTATACACACTCTGCCCTGTTCCTATGCACCTTCCAGGCTGGCCTGAGGAGCGGTCTCTAGGAGTCAAAGCTTTGGGTTCCTAGGGGGCTGAGGAAGAACAGGTGGGGCAGGTGTAGAGAGGCAGCAGGTGTAGGCGTGTGTGACACAGGGCTAGGAGTGTGTCTGGAGTGGGAGGTGTTACGTACGTGAGCACCTGTCGTTCTTGTGTGTCTGTGTATGTATGTGTGTACCTCCTACAGCTAGTTGCCATGTGCTTGAGCTTTGGTGACAGCCAGGGTGAGTGTGATTGTGTGAGGCAGTGCGGTTTATGGTCTTGCCAGATGTTTGAGTGTGGTTGCGTAGGACTCTGGCTGCACTAGTGAAGTTTGTTTTAACCGTATGTCTGTTACATGTTCAACTATGTGCTTTGAATGATTCTGTGTGAAATTGCATGTGACTACCAGGGTGCATCGGGGTGTCACTTAATGGTGGTAGTCTATCCCTTTAGAAGACTTCTGAGATGAGCATTCATTGAAAGTGTGGTTGTGGCTGTGGGGCTATGGATTGTTTCAGCATTTGGTGCTGTCTGCTCTCATGCATGATGGCTGCAGTGGGGACCCTGTGAGTATTAATGCCATTTCTGTCCTCTTTGCCTCTCTGTCTTCCTGGTGTTAGCAAGGGTCTTTAGTGTCCCTCATTTGCCCCCTACATTTCCTGCAAATAGCTCAAGGACCCAAAGAGAGACTCACCACCCAAACAGCCTGGCTTGCAGAAGCACCCTGTGGTTCTAGCCCCTGCCCCCTGTAGAGAGCCTTCAGTTACTGCTCGGCTAGTTTCTACCTACCGAGGAGAACAATTAATGACTCAGATCATTCTGGACCTGCAAAGTTCCTTTAATCGCCAACAACCCTATTAGAACTTCATCTAAACCTCTTGCTTGCCTTCAGAGCCAAAGATAGAAATTGTGGGCCTATGAAGTAGAGTAAGGCCTCCCCTTGTGCCCCCCAACCCTGTGTCAGTTTGTGGCCCACCTTGGGGGAGTCTGTGAGACCAAGTGCATCTATATGTGTATAGAGTCCTGAGCTTGGTAGGTAGATTCTGTTTATGTAAATGACTTTGTCACCTTTGTATATTTCCATGTATGCGTGTCTCATTGTACAATCTGCCTAAGAACTCCAACCAAGAATAGAAGGGAGGCTGTCTGTCCTAAGGCAGACACAAAGCTGGGCAACTGGGGAAGACCGTATCCTTGTCCTTCTTAATGGAGTCAGGGTAAAACCTGGGAAGCAGTGAAGGGGACCGGGAGCTTGTCTTTGAGAATAAGTCTTGGCTACTGACTTTGGGAAGACCCGAGTTCCCAGAAGGAAGGGGGTCCTGTGTGGGATCCAGTTGTACTCTGTGCCCACTTAGGACCCTTGGAAACAGTAAGGATCCAGGAGCCCCCCCCCAAACATACTATCAGCCAGTTTGCTTCCTGCCCCGATTTTCCCCTTTTAGTGAAGTTCTTCTCCTTGCTGGTCTACTCAATTTATTTGTTTTTAATTAATTTATTGTAAGAGTGTTTTGCTACATAGTCTTGGCCTTGGACTCACTATGTAGCCTAGGCTGGACCCAAACCTTAAGCTCTCTGATCATCAGCATCCTTGCTGTAGATAGTTTTGCACGTGACCAGAGAAGTAGAAAAAGCAGTATGGAGACCTCTCCTTTGTAAAGAGAGGCTTAGCTTGTGACCGGAGTCCGCTGATTGGAGCCCAAAGGAGAGTCGTTGTCCACGGTGCTGAAGCGTACTCCAGCCCTCCCCTTCCCTGTGCAAGCGGAACTCCTCAGTTGAATTTGGGATAGGGGAAGAGGCTGTATGTCTATCATCTTGGTTCATTATTCTGGCAGCAAAGTGGTCCTAAAGTTACGACTCCGAGCATCTTGGATACACCCCGACCGTCGCAGTCTTACCCAAAGCTCAAAGCAGTTGGGAAAGATGGTTTCTTAGTAGGAGTAGGGCAGGATGTGCCCGCCCCCCTCACCCTCAGTTCTTTGTATCTTACCTGCTGAGAGGGGCCGTTTAGCAGTGCTGCTCAGCAGCAACCCCATCCAAATAGAGGCTGAGGAAGAGCAGTACACGCTGAGATGAGAGTTGGGGCCTGACTGACCATGCCCCCTGGCCTGGGTCCAGGATCTCTGGAGTCTTGTTCCTTTGGCAATTTAAAGTATCGTTCCTGTGGGTGGAGCGCCCCCGTGTGGCCAAAGAGTCCTGCGTATGAAACTTAATTCCTCGTGGGCACTGCTGCCAATGGGATCGAGTGGACAAGGTGTGGTGGTTGGTGGTAGTTGTCTCCTCTTAATATAGGCTTGCTCCCCTACCCTTCACACACACAGTAGAAGAAATGATAGCATGCATCTTCTGTGGCCTTTCCCAGGATTTTGAAGTGTTTGTAGGTGCTGGAAGGATTTAATAGGGTTTTATTGACAGCAATAAGTCCTAGAAAGGGCCTTGGACAAAGATTGATGGATTAGGGGCTTCTACTTGTTGTACGTGGCTGGGAGCCAGCGTGTGATGGTCGAGTTGTTTTTTTTTTAAGACAGAAGACTCGAAAGACAGGCACAGTTTTGAAAGGGATCTGGAGCCAGCACTAGGTTCGCTAAGCTAATGTACTGTCCTTTCTCCTCCTTCCTGCTTTCTCTCTCATTGGTCCAGGAAGTGTGGAGAGTTGCCATGACAACTATGTCCTCTCACCCCTGTAGCGTCCCTGTGCTAATATGGGAGGTGGGGGTGGGGAAAACAGCCGGAAGAGGGGTTGAAGTGGAGCAATAAAGGGTAAATAAGATCTGTAGTGGCCTCACATCTATAATCCCAGCACTTGGGAAGATGAGACAGAAGGATTGCCACGAATTTGAGGCCAGCCTGAATCATGTCACATGTGCCAGACAAGACCCGATCTAAAATAAACAAATATATCATTCATCATACATCCAGCTTTTCTTTCAAAATTCGTGTGTACCACTTTTCCTTACCAGAAATCCAGAAGACGTTTGGAGAGAGAACTGTGAGGAGAGAACGCCCTGCCCCTCCGCCACACCCCCGTCTCTAAGAGCTTTGCGGGTGGGTGCAGAGTGCTTTAATATAACCTGGTCATAGGTGCTTGTATGAGACACTCCGCTTGTCAGTCTTGCCCTCTTGCACCACCCACTCTAATGGGGGCGGAACCGCCCTCAGTCAGGGACCTTGGGGGCGGAGCTTGGACACAGTGCTCTCAGCCAAGCCATGAACCGCTGCCCTCGCAGGTGCCGGAGCCCGTTGGGGCAGGCAGCTCGATCTCTCTACCAGTTGGTGACTGGATCACTGTCGCCAGGTATGAGGACGGGAAGGGAGGACCCCTCTAAAAATGAGTGGCTCGGGATTGGAGCCTTATAGAGGTGGAGAGAAGGGCTTCTCACAGAGATCGGAGGGAGCAGGGGCTCACACATAATCAGGGTAAGAGGGCAAGTTCGCTCACAGAGTAGAGCAGGGAGATAAGGATCACTCACAGAGCATCAGGATAAAGGAAGCTTCGGGCATCATGGCTCACAACATTGGATAGAGCTGCTTATTGAAGGGTAAACGCCTCAAGAAAGGGGCAGGACGCGGGATGGAAGGAAGAAGCTTGCCTCTGAGCAGGGAAAGGCACAGCCCTGTATTGCATTACTTGGGTTTTGGGGGATGTCTTACAATGACCTGACCAGATGGAGTTGAAGGTCTCCAAGGCTGTACAACCTGGATTGCACATCCCTGGGGTTGCCAGGGCTATAATGCTTTGAAGTTTGGGTTGAGAACCCCGAGTCAGATAACTAGCTTTCATGAAGTTTGTGGATTTATGCTGCGAGTTGTGGGTTCCATATGATGCTATTGAGGTTTGCACACACTTCCACTTAGGTCTCCGTAGGGCTACCTGGGCCCACAGAACCTGGAATTCTCCCCTCATCTAGGTTCAAAGAAACTGAAACAGCCTGGCCCCATGGCATTCCGGGATCTGTAGTTCTCTGCCTTGTTACATGGGCTTCTACCTGAGCCCCTGGTGTATATTCAGGGCCTTTGGCTGCTTCGTGCCATGTGCCTTCAGAAGGAGGAGTGTTGGGGCTGAGTGAGAGCCATGCTTACAAGTCTCTTGGGGGAGCATGTATCCGCTCAAGCCCCCTGCATGGGCTTGTCTCCAGTGACAGATGGCTGAAGCCAGGCGGGGCCAGCTCTCAATCACTGCGGACATGACTTCCAGGACCCAAAATAGCCCCAACGCCTAGGGAGGTCATTAATCACCTGATGCAGCTGGGGGCTGCAGTGTCTTCTTGATTAGCTGGAGATGGAGTGGTCTGGGGGCTGAGATATGGGGTTTGGGATCTTTGCTGAAGGAGTGACAGTGGAGAGCCGGTGGCTTAGAGTGTAGGCTCCTCCACAAGGCAGTATTTTTCCAGACTTGAACTGTGGATAGTAAATGACTGAACGCTAGCAGCATCTCTGTGGTGAGATCTGAGATGTCTGGGAAGGACCAGCCCAGTGCCCTAACAGTTGAGTCTTGAGTTTTCACTTTGCCTAAAGTGAGTCCATTAAGAGTTCCCTCTGGAGCTGGCTATATGACTCAGTCGTAGAATGTTCACCTCAAATGTACATGGCCCTCGGTTCAATCCCCTGTACCAACCCAAACAAACATCGTTATAGACAGTCTGGCCACACATACACGTGATCTTAGCACTCAAGAGACCAAGGCTAGAAAGTTGCTGAGAGTTCGAAACTGTTTTAGGTCACATATGAGTATCCAGCCAGCCAAAGCTACATAGAAAGACCATGACCTTGTCGGGGAGGCAAAGCCTGGCAGATCTCTGAGACAGTGAGTTCCAGGACAGCCATGGCTGTTAAACAGAGAAACCCTGTCTCAAAAAAACTAAGAAAAAACAATAAAGACCTTGTCTTC